TAACTAACTTCAGGGGTTTGATTTAGAAATTGTGTTCTTTGTCTTTTCTGTATTGCACATTCCTTCTATTAAAGTTCCTTTCCATGAAGGCTCTTATGTCTTGTCTTGATGCAGCGGAGGGCAGAACCTATCGAGAGCAGGCAGGTTTGGGGGATCGGGGGCACCCCTCTCTCCCCGTGCTGTAACAGATTTAGGATGATCTCCCGGTTCTCCTCTGTCCAACCCCCAGCTTCCCTCCCTCCTCATTCTACTCTTGCTCTTGGCTCTTATTTGAGGGGCTCAGCTGAGACTAGAGAGGGCTTCACCCTCACCCCCTCTTGCTGCCCACTGGCCATGTGACTCTCTTCCGCTTCCTCTTGTTTCTGTGACGGTCCAGTCCCTGCCCCACCAGAGCAGCACCTCCTCTCTCCTCCAGGACCTTGACTCCACACCCCCTCCCTTTCTCCAGGGCAAGTCTTTCTTCCCCTTGGCAGGCTGGTTCCTGGGGGTGTGCAGAGCTGCGACATCCCCTTCCTTTAGAGATCTCCCTCTGGCTTCACGCTCTTGCTGGCCACGGGCACCTGTCTCTGCTCCTCTCCCTGATGGTGCTGGGTCTGGCTCTCTTGCATTCGCTGGCCTGGGTCACCAGTGCCGCTGTGTCCCCAGATGGACAGATCGGCCCTGAGCCCTCCTCCTCTGCAAAGATCAGCTATGAGAACCCGGGCGACGTACCAGGGCTGACTGCACATTTAATATCGGGGTGCCCACACCTTAGCTGGCACCTGCTTGTATAGGCGGCTCCCCTGAGCCCAGCAGGCACTAGCTCTCGCGGGAACTAGCGCTCGAGGGGTTTGTTTATTAAATGCTGAAGGACACAAACATAAACAATGTCGCTCATAAACAATGCGATGATGAGCTGGAAAAAATGGAAATATTTTGTAGCTCAAAAGACTCTCAATAAATTCTAAAGAACGTTATTTAGGAGAGAATGAAATGAAATGAAAAAATGCAATGGAGAGAATGAAAGGAAATGAAAAAATGCAATGGGGTTGATGCTTCCTCTGCATCTTTTTCCGATCATTACCTTTGATGGAGTTTCTAAGGGAATTGCGTGACATCTGAATTTATTTTCATGAACACTGATGCCGAAGAAAGACAAACCCCACGGCTCGCGTGCGCAGCCTGTCACTGCCACAGCACGGAGACCTGTTATGTGTTCCCGTCGGGGGCATCAGGTAAGAGCCTGGTTTACTGCAGACTCCAGACTCTCCAGACTCCAGACGTTCCACATCTGTCCTCAGGAGCCTCCCAATAGCGCTCTGGCCTCAGTTTTCCTGCGAGGAGACACAGCTCCCCTCTGAGTCAGCGGCCGGAGCGGCCTGGGTGGCACGGGGTGGCCTGGGGGGCTGTGGTCGCCACCTCAGCTCCTGCCCTGACTCTGCCTCCAGCACCCCCTCCCGCCTCTCCACCGCTCAGGGGCCAAGAGAGCAAAGCTATCTGCAGAGACAGGAAGTCAGAGCCGTCTCCTGTTCCGTTAGGTGGCCTTGCGGGACTCTGCCTGCGACACACCGGCCTTTCCACCCGCGCAGGTGACCAAGGAGCCAGAGAGAGGAGCGTTAAGCCACGGGCACCCAGCCTTTGCACCCCACAGGCATCCCTCAGAAGTCTGTAGAGTGATTAAACCCCAGTATCTGCCCTCCCGTGAAGAGCATTTTATTGTTCAAGTAGTTTTACTACTTAGTAAGCTATGAAAGAAGTAACGTATGTCAACTATGAGATGGTGTCACCAGGGTCAAGCCCGCTTTGAAGAAATAAATCAGAAGGCACCTACATGGACTTATGGACACAGTGATGAGCTCAGCACCCCAGGGGGCTGTGGGAGAAGGACTTTCCAGAACCTTATCTGAGCAACCAGACACTGACCCTGTGCAGAACGGCTCTTAAAAAAAAAAAAATAAAACAGGCCCTCCCTGGTGGCGCAGCAGGTTAAAGCACTGCAGTAAGAAGCTAAAGCCACTTCGCATGAGTTCGATTCCTGCCTGCCCCACATGGCGTGTCAGACCTCTCCTGACCCGCCCACTGCTCCCCTCAGCAGTGTACTTCGTCGATCTGCCTGTTCTGCTCCCCACTCTGTCTCTGGTGAGTCCTCTCATCCATCCACCACACCTCTGGACAGTACCCCAGTTCTGTAAGCATATATAAATAAATCTCCAAAAAAGAAAGCATAAAAATAGTAGAAAGTACTGCATTATGAAGCTCCCCAAAGCTACGGAAGCAGGAGTTTGATCCCCAGCCAGGGAGGTGACCACATGGCGCGGCAGACCTCTCCTGACCCGCCCACTGCTCCCCTCAGCAGTGTACTTCGTCGATCTGCCTGTTCTGCTCCCCACTCTGTCTCTGGTGAGTCCTCTCATCCATCCACCACACCTCTGGACAGTACCCCAGTTCTGTAAGCATATATAAATAAATCTCCAAAAAAGAAAGCATAAAAATAGTAGAAAGTACTGCATTATGAAGCTCCCCAAAGCTACGGAAGCAGGAGTTTGATCCCCAGCCAGGGAGGTGACCACATGGCGCGGCAGACCTCTCCTGACCCGCCCGCTGCTCCCCTCAGCAGTGTACTTCATCAGTCTGCCCATTCTGCTCCCTCCTGGGGGTGAATCCTCTCACCCTCGCCCTCTGGCCTGTACCCTGTTCCTGTAAGCATAAATAAATCTTTAAAAAAACAAACAAGGCAGCCGGACACCCGGCAAGCACAGAGGCCTCTCTACACGAGTCCATTTGCTGAGACGGCGCCACTCATCCAGGCATTGGCCAAGAGCCTCAGCACCGCTGGGGCGGATGCAGCCCTCAACCCCCCGGCACCGTACCCCAGCATATGAGGGGTTCGAACCCCAAACACCTGTGAGATGCACCCTCAGCGACTTGGACTTCGGCTCATAGCAGGTGACTGTGCTCGAGAATGTTTATCCCAGCAGACGGACTAGCTCCAAGGGCATCAGAGGCACATTCTAGAGCCCTGTGACGGGAGCCACGGGGTGTAGGGAAAAGAGGGGCTCTGTGGAGGAAGATCGCCCCACATCCGGGGCCCCCTGACCTGCGCCCAGCTCCGGAGCAGTGAAACGTGGCTTAGAGACTGAGGACTTAGGGGAAAGTTCCATGGGACTGGGCTCAGATTCCCACTCTACCTGCCAGCCGTGTGTTCTCAGAGCACCACCTGCACCATGCTGAGATGCAGGTCCTCATGAAGTGGAGCTCAAGACTCCCCCGGGAAGAGCGGTTGCTTGATGAGGCCTAGCTGGTAGAATGTGACAGTAAATGCCTAACACAGCCTGGGTCTCGATATTGCGGTTTTTTCTTTTTTTTTTTTTAAGGTGTATTTATGTATGCATACAGAACTGGGGTACAGACTAGAGGTGTATGGGAGGGGGCTGAGGATTCACCAGAGATAGAGTGGGAGTAGAGCAGGCAGATAGACTGAATCATGCTGCTCAGGGGAGCAGCGGGTACCCAGGAGAGGTCTGCGGAGGCCTGTGAGTCAGCTCCGGGCC